TCTGCCAGGAGGGATTAGGTCAGAGGACTGTAGGGGGAATTCAAGCAGACAGAATATAGAGAGGCAAACATAAAGCTTGCCCCCGTGGAGCCAAGAAAGCAAGATGGAATGTGAAATGTCTGAGTGCACAGAGGAGAGAGCCAGGTGGATTGGAGAACCCCAGCAGCATCATCAATACACAGCGGGCGCCTGGGTGCAAGCAAAGAGCTCACACATACCTTGCCTTCAATGTGCCAAATCTTGTCTTGGCTTGGGAATGAACAAACATGATCATTCTTGAATTTCAAAAATGAGCACTTCATTTCTTCCCTCAGTTTTTACTAACTTCGTTTTAGAAAAAAAAAAAAAAAAGGGAAAAGAGGAAAATATATGTATTTCTATTTTGAGTAATGATTGATGAAATGCATAAAGGACACAGGTGAAAACAGATCAGAAATAGAGACAAGTGAAGAGGGCAGGGGAGAGAACTGATCCCCCAAAAGCTCTGAAATGGCCTGTCATCTTCAAAGTGAAGTGTCAGGCCTCACAGTCCCCAAATCCCTGGTATTCATCAACAGCCTCAGACTGCCACCTCAGGCAGTCCCACCTTATCATCAGTGCCCCAGGCCCTGTTGAATTGTGATCTTCTCACTCCTGATTGAATCCTTCTGCAAATTTATCAAAAGCTTCATGGAGACAGTCAGGAATGCAGACTGTGTCTACTCCCTGATTGCCCTACTCTCTCCCTTCATTGTACAGACAAAGCCAAATCACAAAGAATGAGTTAAAGATTGCAGCTTGGACCTTGGTATAATGATTAGATGTGATAGTCACTTCCCCATATTAGCAATGATAGACAGCATCATTCAATAAATAGTGGAGGTTCCCTCTTAATATCAGCCACCCATAAACAAACAYGGATGTGCCTGGACACTTCACCAAGAAATATAGGAACCTAGGAGATATTCTAGTGGCACATTCTAACCACACCCATCTCCCCCCAAAAAGATGATGAACTTGAGGGAGAAGAAAAGAATATTTTTGCAAATGGGAAAGAATGCTAAATGGGTACAAAGGCAAAAAGAAATATGTTTAGAAAATGATGAGTATTTAGTATAGGGAGAACGCTAGTTGATTTTGCGAAAGACACAAAATTAGATAGTCAAGAAAAACAAGTTACTTAACCAGTTAGTTTTCTAGAATTCAAGAATGGGGACTGAGAAAAAAGGAATTTGATTTGGCTACATGCACACCACACACACACATACACACAATTTCATCACAAATGCATGTACACACCCATACAAGAGAAAATTTAGCCAGAAATGTTTCTTCTATGATATCACTGAGGGCTTTTTTCTCTACCTTTAAAGCTTTCTCATCGTAATTATTAAATTATAAAATGTTCAATTCTTATAAAATATATGATAGCAAAATGAAAATTCTGTAACTTAAAATCCTGCCTACCATTCAAAGGTAATCAATGTTGAAATCTGAGATAAAAGACTTCCAGTTTTTTGTCTGCACTGATATAAATATGAAGAAAGGCACATGTGTGTGATTTTAAAAATCAAATCGTTTCTATTTTAAACCTCATAATATATTTTCTGTCCTGTTTATTATCATTTCTCATTCCCTTTTGCTCACTATCTCTGCTTCCTTCGTGTACTTTCATTCGAGAGTTTGATACCTAAAACATCAGTTCGTTTATCTATAGGGTTTTTCTCTTCTATAACATCAACTATAGATATTAATACTGTCACTACACTTTTAGGTTAATAGATTTTTTTTCTTATTTTCTCACTCAGTTTCCTGTTCATCAGTTCACCTTTTCATTTCCTCATTCATTATTGCTCATAGTGCCAACAACAAATACATTTTCTGTAGTTTTTGTTTTTCTGAACACATCTTTTATAAAAGCAGTTTTCCTTAACATAATTCTCTTATGTTTCAATTTTTAAATACCCTTTTTGGATAACTGGAAATAGCCATCATGGTAAAATGTTTCTCAGGAGAAAAACTGAAAATATGCCCTTTATTTTTTGTGTGTGTGTGTGATTCATATTAGTATCTTTCCTTTCATCCAGCCATTTTGATGTCTAACTAGTATTAATTTAGAGAAAATCTGGAATTCAAAAACTGRCTCAATTTTTTTTTTAATCAGAAAAAATTAGGTTGGTGTCCTCGCCTCTCATTTCTTGAGGCTGATTTTAGAATTTTACATTTATCCTTATTAAGATTCATATTATTTCACTTAGTGTATTGTTTCAATTTTGATTTTGTTGTCCARTGTATTATTCATTCTTCTTAGTTCTCTGTCATGCTATAATCTTCTAGAAGTGGTTTTATCAAAAAGTTGGAACCCTGTATTACATCTTCTTAGAAAGTGCTCATTCAATATTTAATGCCTGTGATGTGAAACTATCTACTTTTTGAGGACAGCACTCTATCTTATTTAAAAATCTACTCCCAATACCTGACATAGTTAGCATTTAATGAGACTCCATACGTGGTTAAGTTTATTAGCTTTACCTCACTGTGACCAAAATACCTAACATAACCAAAACTTATTTTCTACTATTCATCAGCTTCACATCTGGGTTCATGTTCAAGTGAAATGAATACATAGTACAACAAAGGACCTGTACAAAYGCTTTTTAGCAATGTTATTCATAATAGTCCCAAACCAAAAACAGTTCTTACATACAGCATAGTATATTCAGACAAGTAGAATAATACATATCAATGAAAAATAATGACCACTTTAAGCATGAAGCAGCTGAAATTAATTTCACAKACCAGACAGCAGGTCTTGCAAAAATAAGACACAAAATAGCATTTGTTCTGTGTATATGAAAAACAACAACAATAAAAAAAACTATTGCTTGTTGGGGGGCATCAATAGAAGGAAGCCACAGGTGCTAGAAATGCTCTTCCTCTGGGTGGTACTTACTCATAAAGATACATGTGTATTTATGTAAGGAGTCATTTAAGCTGTACACTTAACAATTTGTGTATTTTACTATATGCAAGGTAGACCCTACTTTACAAACTCAAATGCAARAAGATATTTTCCAGTCTAAACAAAAATAAAAGAGATATTTGTGGTATTTGTGGTGAGATATACCTAGTAATAGATTTTGAAAGCAGAATGTGGATCACAATATTTACCTTACCAGGACAATGTGATGATTAAGGATAATAGATGTGAAGCATCTAGACAAAGTCTGGTATTTTTTATGAGATCATTAACTGGCAGATACACTTATATCCCATAGACCAGTGCTTCTCAAACTTTAGCATGCACACAAATCTACGGAGATCTCATAAAAATGTCGGCTTTGATTCTGCAGGTCTGGAGTGAGGCCTGAAATTCTGAATTTTTAAAAAACCTTCCACATCATTCCATTTCCACWTTCCCACTGACCATAATTTGAGTAGCAATGGAAGGAATGGGGAATTTTCAGCAGGGGAAAGATCTTGATCAAATTTATGTTTTTAAAAACCATTCTACTATTGATGCACAAAATSGATTATAAGAGAATAAGATGAAAGATCCAAGAGACACATGCTGTACCCCTGGTGAGGAAAAGGAGAAGAGGAACGTAGTATGGGAAAAGAAACATTCTGCAGAATCATCAGTACTTGGGATTTCATTGAACTTTAGCTAGGAGTAATGAAAGAAAGTTATTAAAGACAGCTTGAGGTTTTATCTTCAATGATCAGATATGTAAATATGCTTTAGTTTTAATAATTTTATCAGATCCTTTTGATAACAATTGAGCTCAGGAGGAATGGATGTCATAAAAAAAGACTTTTTTTCCCATCAGCGTCACATTAAGAGAGAATGAATCAAGGGAAAGTAATATAGAGGGTAGTTTAAAGACAGTTGTATCAAATGGGAAGATAAAGGATGAGGGGCTGTGTATATCAGCATTATTACAGTACCAAGTGAGCCCCAAAGTTTCATTAGACAACAAGGGTATGTTGCATTTATGCCTGGYCCTGTTTGTCTTTGCTCTAAATGATTTTATTCCAGGATCTAGACCGATAGAGCATGCTTTGTTAGGAGCAAAAGAGCTGGAGGAAACATGCAATGGAGCTTAAGCTTCTACTTAGATGTAGTGTACATCACATGTCTTCCAGTGGCATTTTGTAGACCAAGTCACATGAACAGGCCTGATGTCTATGGGGGTGGCAGCATATACTTTACCCAAAGAGGCCTATACAGGTCACATGGTAACAGTTAGGAAAATATAATCCTCTTACAGGAAGAAGGAGGGACAAGTTGAAACAATAATGCTGCCTATCCCAGGGATGTACCCAAGCAAACAACCCAAGCTTCTCTGTGTCCCTTTTGATCCTATAACTCATCTTAGCTCTGGATTTTTTTTTTAATTCAATAGTTAAATACCCTCAATACAAAATATTTCATTAGCATGAGGCAAAATAGACACATTTCTATTTCCTCTGTTAATGAGAATTTAAATGTTTAAAATGTTCAAGGGGAGGGGAAGGAGAGTAGCCCGGGGGAGAGGAAGAAAACTGAATACTGAATAATCAGCCTTAAAGTAATCAAGAGTTGACTGAATTCTCTCCTGATCTTTCCTATATCTAATAGACGACTTCAGAGAAAAGTTGAGCTGTTACATGATCTATTCCTGTGTGCTCCCATTACTCAAGTTTTTAATGCTCTGTTGATTAAAAAAAAAATGCAATTGCAAGTGACATTTTGATTTTTTTAGAATCCTCAATATCGAAAATATTTATTTCTTAAAAKGTAGTTAAATGTATGAACCAAATAATAATTACAACAACCAAAGAGGAGACTTGTGGGCCCAAATTATCTCACAAAAATTGATATAAACTTGATCATTTGAAAAATGATATTGTTGCCCTCTGTTTCAGTTCAAAACTGTTCTGTATCTCTCCATGCATGATTGAAGCATTTTCAAACCAGGGATAAAGCTGTGGTCATGCATATCACATTTCTTTTATTTTTCAATCACTATTCTTAACAGGAGAAGAGAACGATTCAACAAAGAATGAAACGAAAATTGAGACAGAGTCCCAGAGCTCATATATGGAAACCGAAGGTACTGAAAACAGAATATATTGTTATCAGAGAATGAGATGAAGCTGTGAACCATGACATCTATATATAAAGTGTGTGTGAGTGGCGTGCATGTGTGTGTGAGGCAAGWGTCCTGGAGGGTGACAAACAACAGTTTACTGCTTTTTGAGCCTCCTGAAACTTGAAGGAATGAAGAACAACTTTAACCTTTCTATGCTGTACTCCCTGTGTTTTGTCAATGATGCCAACTGCAACATCCCTGAGTCTCTATTGGCCTCTTTCTATTTAGAGCTTTCATCAAACCCAGAAGATACCACGATTGTGGAGCAGCCAGAAGTGATTCCACTGACAGATGACCAAGAAGAAAAGGAAGGTGGAAAAGGTAGGACMGCTCTTAAATAAACCCATCAAGAGTAGAGAGCTTCCTTGTATTTCTACCCAGAGCTCAACTATCAAAGTTATCCTCGTGCAATYGCAGTCTGTAAAGGGGGGAAAAGGAACATTGCTTTAACCTTGAACCTGCCTTTGAAACTAGAGTAAAATTTAGATACTTGTAACATCTTTTTTGGTTTTCCCGCTTTTCAAACAGAATGAAGATGCTTTTGTTATTCATTGAGGTTCAAGTTAAGTTTTTAAAACTCTAGTGTTGAGAAGATCTGTAAGAAATCAAAATCATGCACTACTGGGAAAATTCCTAAAAAATCTGATGGCTTTAAAAACATAAATTAACCTTTTGTATTGATTTCATTCTGTCTTCCTTTGCATGGTAGTGATTAAAGAAGCAATTTATGTAAAATACACTCATCATCACATGAACCTTCCAATTTGCAAGCTTCTCCTGATAATCTTGGGATACAATARTATTGAATACTGTTTTTAAAAATGAGTGAGGTTATAATGATTTCTGAGGATTAATGAGGAATGAACACTTTGAAAATATTAAAGTAATATTTAGGGCAATAAGCCAATATAATAGAGTGAAGATAGGAATCTTTTATAAAAATCCGTTTAAAAACTATTATCAAAAAGTTTTGTATTTATTGAGGAACTTGAGGAATGCAATTTTTAAGAATAAAGCAATCTCTTTTAAAAAAAACTCATGAAATAATTTGCTGCACTATCTCATAAATCATACTGTTCTTAAATAGGTATTTGGAAAGCAGTTGCAGGGTGATAACTTGATAGACCTTGTTTATAGAACAGTGTGATCAATTTTGCTTCCAAATTAAAACACAGACATGATCTCAATTGTAAAATCAGGTCAATAGCAACTACAGCTTCCAAATTATGAACAATTCTTGGCAGGGGCATTGATACAGTTTAATTGCTAAACTAACTTAGTAATTGTGACACTTTTCAAAAATTTTCCACTGTATTTGTATCACAATATTCTTCCACATCTATATCTGTATGGACGTTTTCTCTATTGCAAAYCCTAGTGAAGCCTCATGCCACCATGTTCCTGGCAGGCCAAGTGAATGGTACATTTGAAGTATTTATGTCTGACAATGATGAAAGAAAATTAATGCAACCTTTACYCAGATTCAGATACATGATATAGTTCCCTTTGATTCTAATCCTAAAATGAAAAACACACATTGTGTGCMCATTTACTTAACTTTTCATTGCAGAAATTATTTGCTTTGTATATTGCGCCTGAAGAAATGCAAATGAGTTAAAGAACATCAAACAATGGGTACATTTTCCTCCTTTTATCTTGACCTGTAAACGAAAAAGCTCACATTTACAGTTCCCTAGCAGGGAACATTTCTCCAATTACTGAAAAGTTAAATACCTGCTTTTCCTCCCCTCCTTAYAGGTATGCCAGTCCTCTTCTGTATATGATGGAATGGCAGGTCAAAATCTGCTACGTGTTTGTAGTGACCTTAAACCTGAATTTCTTTATCAAAATGTGACTTTTTACTCTAAAAGAGCAATACCAGTTGGCTTATGTTAACCATGTTTTCCTTTTCTGTCTTTATCATACTTATCTTGGCCCAGCTTTGAATATTTCTGCAWCTTCAATTATTTCAAATTGAAATAACCTTAAATGTATGACCTCTGTCATCTTATACTTTGCATCAAAGTAAGAATTGAGAGTTATTTTGTTGTATTTAAGAAAAGTACTTGCCTTGTTCCCTTTTCTGCTACTAATAATATACCACAGACTGGTTAAGTTATAAAGAAAAGAGGTTTATCTTGYCRGGTGTTTCTAGAGGTACAACATCAGGGGCCMCCATCTAGTCATGGCCTTCTTGCTAGTAGAGCTTTGGGTGGCACAGGACATCACATGGCAAGAGACAGAGAGCATGCAGGTGTATGTGTGTGTATTTTGAATAGAGCTATAGGATTCCATTATGAGGGCTCAACCCTAACAACCTTATATGATCTTAATCACTTCCCAAGGTCCTCACATCTAAACTCCAGGGTCCGATTAAACTTCCACCCATTTAATGCCTCACAATGGAGATTAAATGTCTGTATAGGAAGCCACATGGGATATTCAAAGCATATCCAAACCATAGCAGCACCCAAAGGAAATGAGGACAGAGTAGATTCATGGTGCCCTATAGTAGTTYTTCTACCAGTGACAAGTGAGGCGACCTTAAGTCAGTTATTTCACTTAATTTCTTTCAAGTTCCTCATCTGTGAGATGGTGATGACAAAAGCAGCTGTCACATATTATTGTGGTGACATTTCACATGTAAAACAGTTATAGCAATACCTGGCCCAGAGGAAGCATTCCATAGTATTTATTATTTAACATAGTTTGATAGAACGATGACAAAGTCAAAAGAATCTACATGCAAATTTCCCAAGTTTATTCATTCATTGTTCTTAAGTATTTTGAATCCATAAAAACTTCACATAGTCTMCATCAGCCTTCAGCAACTAATGGTCCTTCACTTTTGATTGACAGTACCATCTTATGAAGGAAGTTTTGATATGGCTRTAAACCTACATTATTACCTATTTTATTTAATACAGATAGAGCAAATAATAGAAGTTGGAGTTTGAGGCAAATTTTTCATTTATAAATTTCTCCTTGTCAAGATCTCAATCTCTTCTGTTTAAGAAATGATAATAAAACCATAATTTCTATTTGCAATGATGTCATTGAGCTATTAGTGAATTTGCAAAAGAAGCATAGTAAATAAATTCAAAGAAATCAAATTTATTTTGCTTTCTTTTGATTCATATAAAGTCTTTTTCAAAAACATTTTGAGGCTATCGCCCCAGGTTCTGTGTATATTTGCAAAGTAGTCTCCTAATGGAAAGTTGCACAAATGTATTAAGAATTATCTATGAACAAAAAAATGAGTATTCTATTACATTTGTAGAAATGTTTTTATAGCTCTAAAACTATTGGTTCTCCTTTAATATGAGAATCTTTCTAAGGAGAAAGAAAATGGTTTCTTAAAAAAAAATTCCATACCAGGAAAAACGTGTAACTTCTTTCTCTGATTTTGCAGCATTTTATAAGATTAGAAAATGTAGATAATCTTCAGGACACATCTTCTATGGCTCCCAGGTGTAGGAGCACAGATGTTGCAACATTAAGTTTTGAAGTTAGCTCTACCAAAATATGGATTTTAAAAAGAAGGAAAAATATTCAGCAGAAGTTCACGCTGATAAAATTACMCAATAGCATAATGGACATGTCCCTGGGAGACCTAAAATACAAAAATTTCAACTGGCATAAAGCGAAGTTTCACATATGGTAGCTTTTCTCATAGAGCCACATCGCCTCTTCCTAAATGAGTCCAGTTTTATGCTTCCCAGCAGGATCTGCAATACATATAAATCCAGTAGAATAACATCTTTTAGGTTAATAACCAAATAGGAAAGAATTACAGGAGATCTTCTCTAAAAGGAGTCTCATATTGTAGTATAAGATCTATATATACAGTTAGCATTCAAATGTTTTTCATAAGATTTTTTTTCTAGTTGAATTTAGAAATTTTTGACATGGAATCTCAACCGGACCRACATTGCATTATTATTATACAGCAAAATTTCCATTTATGTTTTCTTATGAATATACATTGAGCTTTTACTCCACCTGTTACATGTAATGCACATATTCATTCCCAATTATTTTTTTGTATATCAGTAAGCATAATTCAGAATGACAATATTTTATCTGTTTACCTAAGGCTGACCAAAATGTTGACGGAGGTTTAAGATATATCATGATCTAAGGTTTTCTTGGCAATAGATGGATCTAGACAGGCATATGAGCAAAAAGTTAAGGGCAAGCCAATGACAAGTATATTATCGTGTCATTAGGCTTATGTTTTGGCAATTTACCAGCATGACCATTGGACAAAGASCCATGGCTTTTATCCCTGGTTGTGTGATTGCTGGCAATTCTTTAACCTCTAAGAATCCATGTATTTAAGGTAGCTATGAGAGACATAAACCAGGCAGTTAATATTCTCCAATTTTGTTAAGTTTGCTCAAAATGGCAATTCTGAAGAATCACATTCTTCATGAAACAAGAATGATGACATGGAAGCCAAGGGTTATTAATACACTACGAGCTGAAGTCTTGTTTTTTTTCCAGTTTTATTTATGTTATTCTATAAAGTGCAGAGGTACCTTAGACCAGGCAAAWAGGTAACCAGATTAACCATATTTTATATAAGAACTCATTTACTCATCATTAGTTAGCTAATTATCCCATGAAGGTACTTAAAGAGGGAAATRCCTTTGAGCTTAAATTAGGTTTACACACAAAACCTGGAACCAGACTAGATTTCCATCATCATCTCTTTAGTTCACATGGGAAACATCTTTCCTCATAACTCCTCTGGCTACTGTTTCATTTTTCCATGAATTCATGGTACATGAGCCTCTTCCTCTTCTCTTACCAATCAAATCTGTTAGAGAATTTATCCTGTCTACAAAACACCACTGTACAGTGCTAGGTGTTTTCCATTATTGATGGGATTCCTGCATCGCTGACAAAGCTTTGAAAAGCAGTCTCTGTGCAACAACATAGCCATATATAGGATCAATAATATTTGGGCTTTCATATCCAGCCCATGTTCAGTGCTACAGAGAATCAGAGTGTTTAGCCATATGTTCGATTCATGCAAAACATTGTACAAATTTGAATAATAAACTCTGCTCAGAACTGGGCTTGATTTCCATCACCATCTCACATCTTGAGTAATAAATTAACTTACCAGAACTTTCCATCTTCAGAAAATCTTACTATCACCCATCTTTCTAAAGGAAATCAATTTTAGCAATACTGCATTTTTCACATTAGCAGCACTATTATTTAGTTTCCCAGGGCAGTTTCCTTTTCAAATGATTTTTTTTTCTGGCCTTCTTTCCTAATCATATTTTTTAGCTGAAATTTGTCAACAAAGG